GTGTTAGCCAGGATGGTCTCGATCTCCTGACCTCGTGATCCGCCCGTCTCGGCCTCCCAAAGTGCTGGGATTACAGGCTTGAGCCACGGCGCCCGGCCAAAACTTAAAACAAAATTATATGGTTAAGCTTGCCCTGAGCAATAACAGAGCAAATCTGTGTATAGCCTTTAGTGCGGGGACTTGCCCCTACTAAGCACTGAATAAATGTAACTGCTTTTACTCCATAGACTATGGCATAGCCCTTTGAGATAGGTACAGATTAGAGAAGGAAACAGAGGGTCTGAGAGGTCCAGGAACTTGGCCAAGGTCATGCTGATGGGGGTAGTGTGGGGTGTGACCTTGAGCTTGCCTGGGGGTGTGGCCACCCTAACTGTGTACATCCACCTCCTTTGCAGCGCTCTACGGGTGAGCAAACCCCCTCAAGGCCTGCCCTGGTGGTGCATCCTGGTGGGCTGGCTCTTGGTGGCGGCCACCAGTGGCGTGGCAGCCTTCTTCACCATGCTGTATGGCCTGCACTACGGGAGGGCCAGCTCCCTCAGGTGGCTCATCTCCATAGCCGTCTCCTTCGTGGAGAGCGTGTTCGTCACCCAGCCCCTGAAGGTCAGGACCCTGCCCCAGGCACCTGCCCTCCTCCTCTTCCCCCATCCTTTCCCTTCCACCAGCAGTCTTGTCCCTGGGCTTCCATTCCTGTATTTATATATTCAACAAATGAACCTGGAGCACCCCCTCTGTGCAGGCCCAGGGCAGGAAAAATAACCCTTTCATATTACCCTAGGCTGCACTTGCCCTAGACCACATGTATACATATAAATAAGACCCTATTTCCTCAATGTTAAGATCCATTTGATCTTGAGACAAGACAACAACAATTTATGTAGTTAGTTATTCATTTTTTTTTTCTCTCTTTCTTTTTCTGAGTCTGCTTGCAAGGAAAAGACAGCAATTTAAAGGAACTTTCCCTTTGGAAAAAACACCAAGTCATTATATATGTGCCTCAGTTAGAAGCTACACTCCTATTCCTGAGATGTAAAATTACACAAAAGAACATGTTAGAGTTGAAGAAATTCTGGCTCGGCATGGTGGCTCAACACCTGTAATCCTAGTACTTTGGGAGGCTGAGGTGGTAGGATCGCTTGAGGCCAGGAGTTTCAGGCTGCAGTGAGCTGTGATTGCGCCACTAAACTCCAGCCTGGGCGACAGAGCAAGACCCTGTTTCAAAAAAAAAAAAAAGAAAAAAGAAAAAAAAAAATCCTTGGTCAGGCAACTCCCATGAGACCAGCTCCTGGAGATCTGTCAGCCTGGTATGGTGGAAAGAAAAAAGAAAGAAAGAAAGAAATCCTAAATCTAGGCATGGAGCAAAGGAGGCCAGGGGCATGGTTTCCCTTAGAAGAAGTCGGGCAGTAGGCAATCCCTGGGGAACCCCGAGGGGGAAGAGATACTCGGTTGGGGTGTAGGGGAAGCTACAGAAAGGAGGAGATACTTAAAACGAATCTTGGTCGGGCGCGGTGGCTCACGCCTGTAATCCCAGCACTTTGGGAGGCCGAGGTGGGTGGATCACCTGAGGTCAGGAGTTCAAGACCAACCTGACCAACATGGAGAAACCCTGTCTGTACTAAAAATACAAAGCTAGCCAGGTGTGGTGGTGCATACCTGTAATCCCAGCTACTCGGGAGGCTGAGGCAGGAGAATCACTTGAACCTGGGAGGCAGAGGTTGCAGTGAGCTGAGATCGCACCATTGCACTCCAGTCTGGGCAACAAGAGCGAAACTCCATCTCAAAAAAAAAAAAAAAAAAGAAAGAAAGAAATTACAAAATTAGTCAAGCATGGTGGTGGGTGCCTGTAATCCCAACCACTAGGGAGGCTGAGGCAGGAGAATCGCTTATACCCGGGAGGTGGAGGTTGCAGTGAGCCATTGCACTCCAGCCGGGGCAGCAGGGCGAGACTCCATCTCAAAAAAAAAAAAAAGTTAATCTTTACCCCTTTGGGACGTTGCCAAATCCCTGCTGGTCCCCCATTCTTCCCTGAACAGCCTTTATCATAAGACTTAAAAACGTCCGACACCTACCCTCAGCACTAGGTTCGCAGGCTGCTAAAAACAGGGGTGCATCCTGAGCCTTTCTGTTCCCCAGCCGAACCACAGGATCCTCCTGTGTTTGTGCAGAGCAGATGCAGAGATCACGTGGCTGAGGCCTTGCAGCTGAGACCATGCACCTGCGCACATTACTTAATATTGGAGGAAAGGGAAGGAGCAGGTGAAGCCCAGGGGGAGAGCAATTCTCCTTGCAGAGAGATCAGAGACCCCTCAGGCAGGTGAGCAGCAGCAGGTGGGAAGGCTCAGGGGAGTTCTAGGACTGACCAGTCCCCCATCTGGTCTGGGACCCAAGGCCTTGCGCTCCAGCTTCATGATCATCTCCCATCTCTGGAGAAGGGAGCTGCACTCCCCCAAAGTGCAGGGCCCTCCCCGACACACAAACATGGCCCCAAGCCCTGCGCCCTTGCAGATGAGGGGTTGAGAGTTACCAGTGTGGGCTTGAGGATCTCCCTGGGTATTTTTCAGGTGCTGGGATTTGCTGCTTTCTTTGCACTGGTCTTGAAGAGAGTGGACGACGAGGAGGATACTGTGGCCCCGCTGCCAGGACACCTGTTGGGCCCAGGTAACGTGCCTCAGTGGCTGGAGGCAGGGTCTGGCTAGCTGTGGCCCTGATGAGGCTCAGTGAGCCCTGCAGATTGCAGCCTGTCGGGGGTCCTGGGCCTTGGGCCAGCTCACCAGACCTTTGTTCCCCATCAGCCTTTCACCCCCAGTTTGTGAGTCATCCCCAAAAAAGCCAGGAAAAAAGTGACTCCATTGTCTCCTGAGTATCTTTGTTTCTTCCTTCCCTGGCATTTCTCCCTGACACCCAAGTATGACCTGCCACCTAGAAGACGTGCCTCAGGGACAAAGCTGGACACATGGGCGGTCCTTCTCTGTGTAATTCCAAGCAAGCAGCTTTCTTCTCTGAGACTCAGGGCCCTGAGCTTTAGAACAAAAATTAAAACAAGAATCAGTTTACAGATGGGCTGCAGAAAGTAGCTGTAAATTAAGAATTTTAGGACAAAACTCTGCAAACTGCAGCCAGTGGGGCATATCTCACCTGCTGCCTGTTTTTGTAAATAGAGGTTTGTTGGAATACAGACACTGACCCCTGCTCTAGGAGGCCACTGGCCAGTCCCCAATCTCCCAGCCTGACTTCTCACTTCTGAACCAAATTTCCCAAGGGTGGTGACAATAATTACAAAACAAACATGCAAATAAAACTGAATCAATGTGGAATCATTGAGGCAATGGTCTTGACTTTCAGGGAAAATAAAATAGAAACAAACAAACCAAATGCCATGCAGGTGCCTCACAGTGCAGTGCGGCTGCCTCTTCAGGGCCAATATTGTTCCATTCCAGGACAGCGTTTTAGATTTGCAGATCCAAGAGGTCCATTAAAATCTTCTCAATTCTCCACAGAGATGCCAGGCTCCAGACCATTAAATATTCATTCAGTCACCCCTTTGGCAAGTCCTCAGGAGCACTGGCTGCTGGCCAGGCCTTGTGATGGCTTGGGAATATAATTTACATAAAATTCACCCAATGTAAGTGCACAATTTGTTGATTTCAGTAAATGTATAGGGTTATGTAACCATCACTGCAATTCACATTTAGAACAGCTTTGTCACCCCAAAAGGTTCTTTCTTGCCCATTTAAAGTCAATCCCCACTTCCAACCCCAGTCCCTGCCAACACAGCAGTGATTGCAGGGGACAGGTTGCTGCCTTTGGAATGAACAGGCCATTTGGGGAGATGGCATCAACCATGTAAATGCACAAGTAGAAATATAAGTGTGAATTATGGGGAGACATAGGGCTGGGGAAGATCAAAAGAAGGGGGGCCTCTCTGCTGCAGTGGTGCCTAGCCTCTCTGCTGAGAATGGGGGAAAGGAAGGACTGCACACTGAGCACCTGCGAAGGCCCTGAGGTGGGACAGTGGTGTCATTTTATTGCAATCATTTTATAACAACCATTGACTGTGTGTCTGGAGCATGTTGAGTTGGGGGTGGGGGATGAATGGTTAGAGATGAGGGTAGAGGAGGTTGGCAGCAGGTTGACAGGGCCTTATAGGAGTTGGGGCAAGGCTGGGATGTGGGAGGGCTTTACATAGGAGAATGATGACCTGTTTTATG